AAAAAAACCTACACAGATTAATAATGAATAAATAAGTACAGTAGAATATCTAAGGCAGATGGGTCTTAATACCCTGCATTCTAGAAGCACAAGACAGAAAGCAACACAGATTAAAAATTCAGGAAAACCAGTAGAAGGCAGAACTTCCCTCTCACAACCAAAGTTGGAGCCCAAATAAAACTAGAGCATAACTAGAATCTAACTCCCAGTCAAATATCATCTAGACTTCTATTTAGGCAGATGATGATTATGATAACAATAGCAATTAAGATTCCGCAAAGCTCATACAGCTTACATCCAAAATATATAAGAAACTCTTACAACCCAATAATAAAAAGACAATATAATCCAATTTTTTTAATTGAGCAAGGAATGTGAATAGTCATTTTTCCAAAGGAGATACACAAATGGCCAAAAAGCACATGAAAAGATACTCAACATTATTAGTCATTAGGGAAATGCAAATCAAAATCACCATGAGATACAACTTCACACTCAATAAGGCCATAATCAACAAGACAGACAATAACAAACATTTAGCCAATGTGGAGAAGTTAAAAATTCTCACACATTGCTGGTGGGACTATGAAAAGTTTGGCAATTTATCAAAATGTTAAACACAGAATTTTACCATATAACCCAACAATTATACTCCTATGTATTCACCCAGGGAAAATAAAAATAAATATCCACATAAAGACTTAAATACAAACGTTCATAGCAGCATTATTCACAATAGTCAAAAAGGAAAGCAACCAAATGTTCATTAACTGGTGAATGGATAGACAAAATGCAGTATATCCATACAATGGAATACTATTTGGCAATAAGAAACAACCAAGTTACTGATACATGCTACAACATTAATACATGGATGACCCTCAAAATCATTATGCTCAATGAAAAAAAAACGCCAGACACAAATGAAAACACATGATTCCATTTATATGACATGTCCAGAAGAGGCAAATCTACAGAAACAGAGTAGAGCAGTGGTTGACTCAGGCTGGTGGTGGGAATGAGGAGTGACTGTAAAAGGGTAAGGAGTTTCTTTTGGAGGTGATGGAAATCTACTATTAGATCATGTTAATTGGAGAGGTGAGTAGAAAATTAAAAAAAAAAAAAAAAAGATTGTGCTAATAGTCACAAAATTATGTAAATATACTAAAAATCACTGAATTATAAATTTAAAAGGGTATGTAAATTATACCTCAAGAAAACGGAATAGAAAATACATCAACTCACAATTTCAACTGAAGAACAAATGTCAATTACCACCTAAATTGTTAACATTATGTAACTAGTTCTCCTGTACTAGCCAACTTACAATCTTAAATTAATGAACAATAATAGTAAAAATAACAATAACATCTAATAAAAACATAGATAGCAACTTTTACTTTTATGTTATTTCTAATACTGACATACAATCTTTTTAAAATTTATAAAATGAGAAAGTTAGAAACATTACTTATAATTCATGATGCCAAAACATTTTTCTGTAACATTAAAGCTAACAATTAAAAGATACGGAGGTCAAGAGAAGGCTAGATCATTAAAGAGTCAGCTGCTAATAAGTAAATAGTGAAATAATGATGGTCTCTTCATGTTATACAAATGACACAATTTATTCATATAAAGTTTGAATTAGTGCTCTAAACTGACCAGGTAATGAAATATGACACATGGGGGAAAATACCACTGTAATACTCAAAGATACTGTATCCACTGGAATAAATATACTCGCCAAAAGTCTGTTTTTTTCAACTAAAGACAGATTAAATTATGAAGAAATTCTTTGGCTTATACAAGTACTCAGAGACAAAATATATAATCAGCAAAAAAATATAGCTAAGTGTATAAGAACAGTGAAATGCATTTTGTGGTTTCTATTTTGCCAACACAGTTACAGTTAATGAGAATTGTCATGGCAAAATGACTGTTTTTATGAAAAAAATCTTTTTTATTCCACTCCAATCAAATTTCATTTTTATTACTTATGTAAAAAAGTTCAAAAACCATGATTCATTTATAGACCATACAAAAATAAGAAAAGTGTTCAAGAATAGAGGAGAGGATCATTTACAAAGCAATAAAAAATTAAAGTATGCATTTCTCTTACTGGCAAGGCAAATACTTCTCTTCCACATATAAATGTCTATAGCTGGATATTCTGAATATTATAACTTCTGTCTTTGAACAAAAAATGAGAAGCCTTAATTTTCAATATCTCATCTTTATTTGATATCTTCAGTATATCTAATAACTGCTTATCAAGAAATTTTAAAAGTTTAAAAAAGGTTAAGAAGTTTGGTGGAATTTTCTTTCAATTTTCACAAAAATATGGAAAGCCTGAGCTAACGTTAATAACTCAAAAGTCTTCAAAGAAATAAGACTGACAAATTTTATGAGGTACCCATCACCAAATCTTTTAAGTTAAAAACTAAAAATCATGTAATTTCAGAGTATAAAATGTTAATAAACCAGGTAAGAAAATTAAAACTCACGTTACAGCCTATGAACTATTTCATTAACAGAAAACAAGTCTTTGAAAGTATCTTATTACCAAAGTTTTCAACAGTGAACATAACATTGACCTTAAAAATTTAGTTTTGGCCGGGTACAGCAGCTCACGCCTGTAATCCCAGCACTTTGGGAGGCTGATGCAGGTGGATCACATAAGGTCAACAGTTCAAGACCAGCCTGGCCAACATGGCGAAATCCCATCTCTACTACAAATAAAAAAGTTGGCCAGGCATGGTGGTGGGCACCTGTAATCCCAGCTACTTGGGAGGCTTAGGCAGGACAATCACTTGAACTTGGGAGACAGAGGTGCAATGAGTTGAGATCACCCCACTGCACTCCAGCCTGGGCAACAAAACCAAATTCTTTCAACCTATTCAGGAATACAGTATGGGAAAATATAGGATCCATTGCTGTCAATAAACTATACCTTGACTCACCTATTCTGTCACTGTTTTGCTTTACCATATGCCCCATTCAACATCAGCTTCACAACTCCAAGGTCATAAGCACAACTGTGTAAGATTATTCATATGACTAATATGATCTTTTTTAATTCTCTGAAATGTGATGGTCAGCTCAATAACTTGAATAATTCCTCAGTGCCTTCCTCAATGCTGGAAAATCCTTAGAATACTAGGTAAAAATAACAAAATATCTTTATTTTCAATAGCAAAAGAATTTAATGCATTGTATTTCTTCAATTTTCTGTTGCAATTGTCATCATTAAATATTCTGATACACAAACATACAAACCTATACCATCATTTCCTTCATTATGAGCAAGAGTATCACTTCTATATTACAAAAGCCTTTAAACCTATATTTTCTGTTTCCTTTAGCCTCTGGAACCCTTCTGAATACTTTTAAAGTCCAGACTCCCTGGTACTCATGTGAGAAGAGATGGAATGAAAACACTTTATTATCAATATAAAAACAAATTTTTTAAAACATGCCCATTTCGATCACACTTAGTTTCAAGATGCTTACATATAGGTTCCATGGAACCCTGCAAAACTACTTTCCTAGCTCATACTATAATCTACTGTTAAAATGAAGTTATTAATAAATTTAAATAATTAAGCACCCAAATGCCCACAATGAGATAAATGGAATATTCCAACCATTCTTTTTTCATCCTTTATATAGTTTACTGAGTTTCTAAATAAAGAACAGAACAGATATTATCCTTATTTCAAAAGATTAATAAATTACAGCATGATAAAATTAACTGATGTGCTTAAAATATGGCAAGGCACCAGTAGAGTAATAAATCAGAAAAGATGGTATATGAGTAAAGAAAAACAAGAATACTTTGGGCATTTTCTGATGTCTAAAATGGTAATGGAATACTAGATGTTCAGAATTAATATCCTCAAAGGACTTCTTAATGTAAGGTGAAAGGCTCTTGGGCAATAAAAGTAACAAAAGAAAGTAACATATACTGAATATTTATTATCTATCACTCTATACTAGATACTTAGTATACATTGTAAATTATATTATCCCTCTTTTACAAATGAGGAAACTGAGGACTAGAAAGGCCTGTCCGAGATCACAGAACAAGAAGCAGGGTTGAGCTTAGAACTCAGCTCTTATGCCAATGACTTTGTTCCTAACCTTCATACTGAGTTCAGTATTCTTATCCACAAAATACCTACCTGGCAAGATAAAATTGTTATTATTAGCAATTACATATATAAATCATTTAACAAAGTAGCTCAAAACAAAAGCTAACTCTTATTATCAGTAACCAGCTACGGCAATGTCTAATCAACAAAACCCCAATATGACCTATACCAAGATTCAATTTTATAATGAAGATTATAAAATGAAGAGGATATCAAATATATATCTTGAAATAAATATCCTGGAATAACAAATTACTCTAGGATACATTAACAAGTAATCTTAATAACTGTAATAACTGTAGATAGATGTTTCATATTGAATTAAATTCTGTTATTTATAAATAACCTTTTAAAGCTTTACCAAAATTGTATCTTTAAAGTAACATATATTATTATTTTCACCATTTTACAAATGAGAAATCTCAGGCTTAAAAAGTCAGTTACCTTGTCTAAGTTCATACAGCTAGGAAGTGGCTAAATAAGAACCCAGGTTAGACTTTTCACTTCAAAATCCTCTAAAGTGGAAAAGCAAGGTGAAGGAAGCAATCAACACTGCAGCAGATTTCTGCCGTTTAGTGCTCAACACCTCTCTCCCTTCTTTTGTGTATCTGGTAGCACTGTGGAGCTCTAATACCTGGAGCTACTCCTGGCACAGGGATGGGCAAGTGAGTTAGGCCTGTCCACCACAGTACTCTACCCTTCTGGTTGCTCCAAATGTGGTCATGTAGCCCAAATAGGATTATACAATCTTCCCCTACAATATATTCATACCCAACTGACTGTAAAAATAAAATTTTTTTAAAAATGTGAGCAACATATTGAAAAATCTAGCCATAAAACAAGCGAAAACTTAAATATACAGGTTGTTATAAAATATTTTAAAAATTATTTACTAATAATATTCAGGTTTATTTTTATTCTCCTTTTAAAATTCTAGGCCTGGTATGGTGGCTCACACCTGTGATCCCAGCACTTTGGGAGGCTGAGGCAGGTGGATCACTTGAGGCCAGTAGTTTGACACCAGCCTGGCCAACATGGTAAAACCCATCTCTACTAAAAATACGAAAATTAGCCAGGCGTGGTGGCAGACACCTGTAATCCCAGCTACTCCGGAGGCTAAGGCAAGAGAACCACTTGAACCCGGGAGGCAGAGGTTGCAGTGAGCCAAAATTGCACCATTGCCCTCCAGCCTGAGTGACAAGACTGAAATGCCATCTCAAAAAAAAAAAAAAAAAAAGTCTAAATCCAGCATATCATCATCTAGAGAAACAAATATTAATTCAAAAGCATAACTTACCATTTTTTTCCATATTAAGCCAAAAGAACAATTCAAAATTATCTTCCACTTTAAAATATATATTCAAAAAAAAACTACTGGACAGATACACAAATATGTATATGTACGCACTGTGTACAACAGACAAAAATCATACACACCTGTGATGGCTTTGGGACACATCAACTTACCTACATGGAACTACACTTGCCAAAATTCCCTTTCTACTATGTCTCTAGTTAAAGTGGGCTACAAGGGATATTCTCCGGCAAGTGTTGAGAACGTAAGAGCGGCAAGAGCCATTTTGTAGCAGACACACACTTTCTCCTAGCTTTTCTAACCCTAATCTAGGTGCTGCCATAAAGGGATTCCGCTGATATAATTAAAGTCCTACTTAGTTAGCTTTACATTAACCAAAAGGGAGAATTATCCTAAGTGGCCTGATTTAATCAGCTGAAAGTCCTTTAAAAAAAAGGCCTCAGTCCTCCCTGGGATCAGACATTCCAAGCAGTACCTGATCGCTCTCTTAGTCCTGGATCTCCCCCTCCTGAATGACTGCCTCACACGCTGTGCACTTGCTTTGCAAGCCCCCACAATAAGAGCCAGTTGTTTGCATGTGTTTGTGTATGCACATACCTGCATATGTGGGCATGGCTAGAGAGACAGACAGATATCCTGGGGCTTCTGCTTCTCTGGTTGAACTGACTCCTTAAATATCCATCAGAGTAATACTACATAAGTAAGTTTTAGCTTCTTCATTACAATGAAATACTATATAACTATTTTTAAATGATGATGTGTAATTCCATTCATAGACATGAAAAAAGATCCCAATATATGACAAAACAGGTTACAAAAAATTATGCATATTTATATTATGTCAATTTTCTTAATTCAAGGAAAGAATGAAATAGCTTTGTTCATCAAAGTTTTAGTGACGGGGATGGAATTTTAAAGTCTTAATCTGGGTATATGATTTCAGGTAATTTTTGCTTTATTTCTGAATTGCTTTCATTTTTCCATAATGGCAACATATCGTTATTATTATCAGGAAAAACAAACCCGCAACACACCTTTCTCACTTGACAGGAAAAAAAATGTCAGGTAGACTTACATTAAATGGTTAAAATGGTGCCCAGAGTCTTAAAGGATGAACAGGAGTTATTTAAGCAAAGTGGACATTTCAGGCAAGGGGCAAGGAAGGAAGTGACAAGACATAAGTCTGTTCTACCGACAATAGGAAACCAACAAAATGTTAAAACAAGAGGAGGGTTTGTTTTTTTTTTTTTTTAAGGAAAATTAAAATAAAACAAAACAAACAAAAAACCCACTGAGGCTTGCAGTGTACAGACTCTACTGGAAGGAAGTCGAACTGGAAGCAGAGAAATCAATTCAGAGACTACTATGGTAATCTAAGCAAGAAATGACAAAGCTTTGAACTAAGGTAACAACAGTAGAAATGTACAGAATAAGTCCTATTAAGTAATAAGAACTGAGAAAAGTTGATGAGGGAAATACTGGCAGTAAGGAGACAGAAGCAGTTCACTTAAACTGGGGAGTTCATAGATTTCTAAAAAGATATCCATATGAATAAGGATCTCAAAGAACTCACTTCAAGAATACCATAGAGAGATGCCAGATATCTTTAAATGTTTCCAAAAGAAATAATCAGCGTTAGCTCATGTCCACAGGAAGGAAGGATAATAAGCAAAGTGTTAAATACACTACAAATTAGAGCTCTCAATTAGAAGAACACATTCATAATTACTTACTAAATTATAATAGGTCTATGTAGATACATATCTCTAACCTGTCTAGGTGGACCTCTTATAGGAAAACCATGTTACTACCAGAAACAGAATATTGTGAACAGTTGTTGGATTGGAGTCACACTTATAAGTCATTTAAAAGTCAAACTCAGGGTTTCAGATAAATTACTACTTTAACCACTGCTATAGTCTGAATATCCCCTCCACAGCTCATGCTGAAATGTAATTGCCATTCTGACAGTATAAAGAGGTGGGACTGTTAAGAAGTGATTAGGTCATGAGGGCTCCACCCTCATGAATGGATTAATCTCCTTATCCCAAGAGTGGGTTGTTACAAAAGCAAGTTCAGCCCTCTCAGTCCCTGGCTCTTGCCCTCCCTGACCTTTCCACCTTCTGCCGTAGGATAATGCAGCTACAAAGGCTCTCATCAGATACTGACACCTTGAAACTGAAGTTCCTTGCCTCCAAAAATGTGAGACTTAATTTTTTTTCTTTATAAATTACCTAGTCTGTGGTATTCTGTTTCAGCAACACAAAACGGATTAAGACAGCCTCCTGTTTTCACTTCTTGACAAAATATAATCTTACAAATTTTAAAAATTATAATCTTTAAATTGCAAAAGTAAAATACGCTCACTATAGTAATTCAGTTCAAAAATATAGCTCCTTCACCTTCCACCAACATTCCTATATTATCTCAATCACTAGTTAAAATTAGTTGAACATTCTTCTGTAACTTTCTCTTAACACATATACACATATGTATGTTTATATAGATTTTGTGAGTTCATAAAAGATATGTATTATTTTATAACTTTTTACTTTCAAGACAACGTATTTAACAGGTGCATCTCTTCATTTTGGATCTGTAAAAAATGTGAGCATATCATAATTTTTGTATAAATGTTTTTGACAAATAGTAACTATGTATATTTAGGAGGTACAATGTGATATTTTGATCTACGTGTAAACTGTAGAAAGAATAACTCAAGCTCGCCGGGTGCGGTGGCTCAAGCCTGTAATCCCAGCACTTTGGGAGGCCGAGGCGGGTGGATCACGAGGTCAAGAGATCGAGACCATCCTGGTCAACATGGTGAAACCCCGCCTCTACTAAAACTACAAAAAAAATTAGCTGGGCATGGTGGCGCGTGCCTGTAATCCCAGCTACTCAGGAGGCTGAGGCAGGAGAATTGCCTGAACCCAGGAGACGGAGGTTGCGGTGAGCCGAGATCGCGCCATTGCACTCCAGCCTGGGTAACAAGAGCGAAACTCCGTCTCAAAAAAAAAAAAAAAAAAAAGAATAACTCAAGCTAATTAATATATCCATCACCACACCAACTTAAATTTTTGTGGTGAGAATGTTATAAATCTATGCCTTTGGCAATTTTGAAATATATAATACATTATTAACTGTGGTCACTATGCAGTGCAATAGTTCACTAAAACTTTTTCTTCCAGTCTAACAAACTTGGTTCCCTTTGATCAGCACCTCCTCTTCTCCATTCCTCTTCTCCAATCCCTCACCTTTGTCCCCTCAGCCTCTGGTAACCACTATCTATTCTGTTTCTATGAGATCAACTCTCTTAGATTTCACTAAAAAGATTAGATTTTAGATCACTATTTGTCTACACGTAGCTTATTTCACTTAGGATAATGTCCTCTAGGTCTATCCATTTTATCACAAATGATAGGGTTTTTTTCTTCTTATTTTTAAGGCTGAATAGTATTCCACTGTACGTTATATATCACATTTTCTTTATCCATTCATCCACTGATAAACACCTGGGTTGCTTCCATATCTTGTCTATTGTGAATACTACTGCAATGAACATGGAAGTGTACACACCTCTTAGACAATTTCAATTCCTTTGGATACATGCCCAAAAGTGGAATTGCTGGATTGGTATATAATAATTTGATATATATTTAAAACATTTCTAGTTTTTCACTATTATGCTGCAATTAATATCATTACATATTTCTTTAAGTACTGGTCCTTACATTTCTATTGGATAAACCCTCATAAGTAGAATTTTCAGGCCAGAGAATGTCATTTTAATAAATATTGCTACATTAAAGAGCGAGGTGGCTCACGCCTATAATCCCAGCACTTTGGGAGGCTTAGGAGGGTGGATCACAAGGTCAGGAGTTCGAGAGCAGCCTGGCCAATATGGTGAAACTCGTGTCTACTAAAAATACAAAAATTAATCGGGCATGGTGGTGTGTGCCTGTAGTCCCAGCTACTCAGGAGGCTGGGGCAGGAGAATTGCTTGAACCTTGGAGGCGGAGGTTGCAGTGAGCCAAGATTGCACCACTGCACTCCAGCCTGGGTGATAGGGTGAGACTCTGTCTCAAAAATAAATAAATAAATAAATAAATAAATAAATATTGCTACATTAAGTTCCCAAAAAGTAATACTAACTTACAGACCCACCAATAATTTGAGAGTACTGTTTTCCCCATGCCCTATTGGTACTATAAATTATATTCATTTTTGTCCACCTGATGGGGAGGGCAGGGGGATGCTATACATTATTAGTGACAGAGAACATCTTTCTGTTCACTGTCTGTCTATATTTCATCCTTTTGTGAACTGCCTGTTCCAATCTTTTGTCTTTGATTCTGTTGGTTTGTCTTCTTATTTGTACTAACTTACTTAAGATGTCTTTTATCAAAGTTCTTAAATTTTTTCTGCAATCGAATCTGCCAAGTTTTCATCTTACGGATTACAAATTCCTAAATTCTGCTTAGGCCCCTTCTGCTAATCAATAATTATTAAAATAATCTCCTATGTTTTCTCCTAATTATTTTATTATAATTTTTTGGTTTTACATTTAGATCTTTAATCCATCTGTAATTTATTCATGTGGTGTAATGACTTAGGAGTTATTCCAACACTATTTGTTGAATTATCCATCTTTAAATGGTTCCTCCTAGAGTAGCAGATCACTACAACACAGCAGACAAACAAAATTCTTAACGTCACTAGAAATTCTTAAACGTCATTACTTAAATCAATATCAAAAGATTATTAAAAGACATTCAACATTTTCTCATTTTAAAAAATCACACATTAGAACACATGCACACAGTGTACCACTCTCAACAAACACTGTGAAGTGTTTTGTTTTTTTTTAACATAGTAGCAACCTAAATTAAATCGCTGATCTAACGATGTAAGTCTGATCTTGTTTTCAACATAAATGGTAAAAACATAATCATTGCTTGAAATCTCAAGATTAATCATTGATTTGAGTCACAAATATTTATTGAGTACCAACTGACTATGGATACAACAAGGAACAAAATAAATTTGATCCCTACTTTCAGGAAGCTTGCAATCTAGTAGGAGCTTCTTCTCTCTTCTAGAAAATAACGTATTTTAAGTGAAAAAGGAAAAAAAAGAAATGTATGTTCACACAAACGCAATGCAGTGAAAAACATTCCCGCAAATTTTACGACACATTCTGTATTTCCCATTTCCAAAATACTATCTTATTTCTTCAAATGTACCTATTTATGTAGTGACTGTCTGCATTACCAAATACTCATGTTGAAAACACTGCTAGGGAGTTATGACTAATTCTATTAGCCTATATCTAAAAGTACCTATGTTTAGTCTCCTCAGTTTCTCAACAATATTTAGTTTCTTTCGTTACAATAAGAACCTTAATAAGAGAGAAATTAGAAACCTATATACATTAGTCATGTTCAGTCCAACGACTCAAAGATATTTCTTTAAAGTACCTGCAGATTTAAAAATATTTCAATGAATCCGGCCAGGCGTGGTGGTGGGCGCCTGTAATCCCAGCTATTCGGGAGACTGAGGCAGGAGAATCGCTTGAACCCAGGAGATGGAGGTTGCAGTGAGCCGAGATCGTGCCATTGCACTCCAGCCTGAGCTACAAGAGCGAAACTCCATCTCAAAAAAAAAAAAAAAAAAAAAAAAAAAAAAAATTTCCATGAATCCTAGAGTCTTAAGACTCTTAATAAATGGCACTACTACGTCGTTGGAGAGGGAGCAAGAAGTCTGGTGGTCCTTCGATGACAACAAGTAACAATTGAGTAATGACAGTCACCTTAAACTTTGGGTACCAAGACCCAGAAGCTGCCCCACTCTTAGACGGAAGTGTTCAGGTGCTTGTCCCTGTGGTAACGCCCCCCACCTCAATCCCAATTCAAGGTCTCCTCCTCATACACCAGCACCTCCCAACGGAATGGGGAGATGGACAATGGACCGCCCAACGGAAGGAGACGGAACGCCTGCTCCTGCGGGGTGACCTTGGCCAAGCGTCTCCTCCTCAGTTTTTCCATCCTTGAGATAAGGTTGGTAGTCCGTGCCCGCCTCCACCCTCCGGCCTGGGTTCAGCGCATAATGCCGCAAGGCTAGAGGAAGACTCCAGCCCTGTACCCCACGCAGCTCCCGGAGACCGCGCCGCCACCTCCTGGGTCTGCGGCTACGCGCGATACCTGCAATCTGGGAGACGAAGGCTTCCGCCACTAGAGACATGTCGGCTGGGCGGCCCTGAGCCCGGGTGCCTGCCCCGCCCCGCGAGCCTCAGCGTCCTCCACCGCAAACCCGGAGGCTCTCGGCAGCTAACGAGCCTAGAGCAGCTGAGGTTCAGACTCGCAAAGCCCACTCCAGCAGCCGCGGAGGAACCAGTGAGGCTCCCAAGGTTACCGCCAGGCCCGGCTAGGAACTTCCGGCGCAGCTGACAACGGCGCTCGAGTGCTTCCGTCGGCCCCGCCCCAGCGCCCTCCTACCAGGCGCCACCGCAGCGAGCTGGGTCCCGCCAATTCCAGGCTCCGTGTTGGGGCCCTGCAGGTGGAAGTCAGGTACCCAACTCGCCTCCCACCTAGGGGACCTGCAGGGGGATCTGGAAGATTTTTAGTGTCCTTTCTGTAAGCTAGAATTTTGTAAGCAAGTAACATTTGTAAACGTCCCCCATTGGATATCAGACACACACACACACACATATATATGTATATGTATATATATATATGTACATACGTATGTATATACATACATATATATATATATATATATAGTATTTGACTTTGGTCATCCTCTCAACAACCCATTAAAGTAATAATATTATCGCCATTTTACGGATAAGAATATAGGCTTAAGGAATTTAAACTGCCTGCCCAGGCACTCCTCTGAGGCCCAGATTCAAGGCTGTGTGAATTCCCTCTATTCTACTATATTGCTGGGTTGATTTGTCTGTGGATAGACATTAGTGTGTTTTTTTTTTTTCTTAATTCAAACATGCTTGGCAGAAAGGAGGCTTGAGCAGTGCCTAAGCCGAAAGATAATTTGTCCTTCAACTACATACACCCGAAATGATGCTCAGCTTAGGAAATAAGATACTTTAGTTTCACACATGTCTCACCTTCGGGAGTGAAAGGGGCAGGAAGAGAAGACACTAAATTTCCTGAGTGACTTTCTCTTAAGCTAATAGTTTCTTAAATTACACAATTAAAGAAAAATCATATACATTACAGATTGCCATTATTACAAGTGGGACAGTCTTCAGAGCTGTTAAGTCAAAGCCCCCTTCACTGATGAGAAACAGGTTCAGAGAGGAGAGGTGACTCACTTTAAATCACACAGTAAATCAAAAAGTCAGACAGCTTACTAAGTTTTTGCAGAGGAAAGCTGTGTTCTAAGAATTACTGTCCATGACATTTAGAAAGCTATATTTCCATTCTTTGTATTCATGGATCTCTATTACCGTTCATTCGGCCTCCTTAACTAGTGTGTTGGTTTCCTAGAGCTGCCAAATTACCACAAACTGGGTGGCTAAACAACAGAAATTTATTCTCACAATTCTGGAGGCTAGAAGTCTGAAATCAAGGTGTCAGCAGGGCCATCCTGTCTTGCAAGGCTCCAGAGAAGGGGGTTGCCACCAATCCTCCATGTACCTTGGCTTGTAGATATGTCACTCCAATCTCAGCCACCATCATCACATGGCATTCCCCCTGCATGTCGATGTGTCCAAATTTCTCTCTTCTTGAGAAATAACACCAGTCATTGTGTTAGGGCCCACCCTAATCCTCAGTAGGACACATCTTAACTTGATTTCTTTTTTTTTTTTTTGAGATGAAGTATTGATGCGTCACCTAGCCTGGAGTATAGTGGCGTAATCTTGGGCCGCTGCAACCTCCGCCTCCCAGGTTCAAGCGATTCTCCTGCCTTGGCCTCCCAAATAGCTGGGATTATAAGTGCATGCCACAACACCCAGCTAATTTTTGTATTTTTAGTAGAGATGGGGTTTCACCATGTTGGCCAGGCTGGTCTCTGACTCCTGACCTCGTGATCTGCCCCCCCCCCCCCCCCCCCCCCCCCCCCCCCACCGCCGGGCTTCCCAAAGTGCTGGAACTACAGGTGTGAGCCACTGTGCCTGGCCCCATAATGTTTTTTAAGGGTAAGTCATATTTTCATCTCCCTCAGCAAAAGGAAGCTTGTTAAACTACATTTAAATTTACCCAATAATTTACATTGACGTAAACACAGCAGTGTCTTAGGAAGTAGTGTCTTCTCTGTTGCTGAAATTCAGACTTAACAAGCAGCTGTGAATAGCAGAAATACAGGGAAGATAATAGGTTTTTCTGATTTGTGCAGAGAGAGGTAGCACTGATAGTAAAGAGTACATGAGGTCCATTTCCTCCACATCCCATAGGTGATATTGACCAAGAGAAATGAGCTGTTTCAGTTACTTTGCTATCAATCAAAAGAAAAGCTTTCAGGCTCTATCTGTTCTCCTCATGGTGGAGAATTATATATAACTGTAATAATGAAGAAAACATGTCATCACTTTAAGTTCTATTATCAATTTTGGTTTGTCATCTTTATAAAGCTAAAGACACAGTGTTTTAACTACTTTTTGATAGATTTGAAGTTTAAAATTCCTCCATATCATAGGGCCTGTGTGGGAACTTGAGCCAAAGTCCATAAAGAGTAATGACGATTCAACTGGAGAAATCAAAATCAAGCATATCCAAAGGGTAGAAGTGAGCCCTAAAGTGGAAGAGATTGGCAAGAGCCAGAGAATGGACACAGATGTAAGAGAAACAGAGCAAGATTAGAGGCAAAGTAGAATGTGCCCTTACAATTTCAGTTAAGTACCCATGGCTTGATGCATGGTACATGCATAAACTGAGCTGGCTCAAAGGTACTGGATTGGGTCTGACACCAATCTTTATTATGGCAAGTGCCTTCGTTCATTAGGGCTGCTATAACAAAATATCTTAAACTGGATAATTTATAAACAACAGAAATGTATTGTCCTCACTTTCAGAGGCTGGAAAGTCCATGATCAAGGCACCAGCAGATTGAGTGTCTTGCGAGGTCCCAATTTTCATAGATAGCACTTTGTACTTGTCTTCACATGGCAGAAAGGCAAAAGGAGCAAATAAACTCCCTTGGGCCTCTTTTATAAAGGCACTAAACCCATAGGCAAGGGCAGAGCCCTCTTGACCTAATTACCTCCTAAATTCCCCACCTCTTCTTAATGCTATCACATTGGCAATTAAGTTTCAACATTTGAGTTGCTGAGGGACGCAAATATTCAAACCATAGCAGCACGCTTTTTCGAAAAAAACAGAGAAGTGTTGGGGGCATTGTCTATATTCAACTCTCTTCATTTTAGCCAGGGAAGCAGAATCATCAGCACCATATGGATTCACTTTTTCTCGTGACTGATGATTCTTTTGCTTCCCACACAGGCACATTTAGGCTGGAAAGAATCTGTAATGTGGGAGGTCTTTATTACCAAAAATTAAGTCCAATAAAATGCAGATGTCTTGATGGTACCCACAGATAAACTGTCTTTGTAATAAATAGCCAACTGGAGAAAATATATGTATACATCTGTATTAGAACGACTGGCAGATTTAAAACTGAAGATTTGTTTAAGATCACCACAATTAAGGAAAATACAAGAAAACAAGCCACCAGAATTTTTAAGAATGAGGTTATAAAACAAAAGTGCTAAGGAATCTATATGTTACTGAAAGGATAATCACACAATTTTTAAAATAAAAATATCAAGGCATGACATTATCAGTCTTATTGTTTGTCCTAATAAAATCACTTTCTTGCAAAACTATTATAGAATATTTTAATGTCCCTAATCTAGATTTTTATGTTACTGTATTAAATGTAAGACAACAGTTATTATGATGAATATATGCTTATTAAGATTAAAATATTAAGATGTTTTATCTACATTTTAATTTTCTCTGACAGAATGTTAATATTTTTAAATAAATATTTTATTTTTGAAAAGGTGTCTGCAAGATAACATTTTTTTCTAGGATTCCTTTAAAATTACTATTTACTTGAGAACAATATATAAATTCAGATCTTTTTATCAAATTAGCCCCTTATCCCCCATCAAAAGAATTAACTATCGTTAAATCAATCAACCCAAAAAGCGTGTTAATACAGTTAAAAACACTAAAGTAACTGTATTAGTTCATTCTCACACTGCTATAAAGAACTACCTGAGACTGGGTAATTTATAAAGAAAAGAGGTTTACTTGATTCACGGTTCTGCAGGCTGAACAGGAAGCATGGCTGGGAGGCCTTAGGAAACTTGCAATCATGGTGGAAGGCAAAGGGGAAGCAAGCATGTCTTACCATGGTGGAGCAGGAGGAAGAGAGAGAGAAGGGAGAAGTGCCACACACTTTTAAAGTATCAGATCTCGTGAAAACTCACTCACTATCACAAGAACAGCAAGGGGGAAATCTGCCCCCATGATCCAATCACCTCCCACTAGGCCCCTCCTCCAACTGGACATGAGATTTGAGTGGGGATACAAATCCAAACCATATCAGTGACAATGTTATGCTTCAGGGCCTTAATTTCATCTGTTAATAGTCTTTACTGCCTTAGAAACAAACTGTAGACAACTTTAAGCAATCTAATATATAAGGTTTACAAAGATTTTTTGAAAGGGTAGATAAATGTGACAGTCATTCATCCTTGTATCTCTCAACTCCTTTCTTCCCTTTGTAATTCCTAAGAAATTATAATCAACTCAGTGCTGTTACATTCTTACCTTTTTCTCACTTTGTGTTCTTACCCCGTATTTTAGGCTAGCACGCTGTCACATAAACTATGGCATATTTGACCATGCTTTGGAAAATATCTTCAATATTGATTGTAGTGGACCTACATTCTTCAAATATTAACTGCTTTTCAAAAGAAACTAAAATGCTAAATTTCCAAACTATTCTTCTACCTTGAGCCTATTTGTTGCCTCACTTTTATAGCTTTACCTTATTATAGGGAACTGAATCTTTTTACTGTATCTATTGACTGCTCTTTGCTGGTGGTAGTAATGTCTTATCTACAGCTACAGGAACTGTATGGTTAGGACTTCCCTGGTTGCAACTTTTATTAAAAAAAAAAAAAACACGTACATGCGATTAAAGTCAGCTTAAGCAAGTTTAGTTTTATTGCCTCATAGTGGAAGAAAAGATACAGAAATGATTCACAGAATGGAATGGACGGTTCTAGGAACCAATAGCTTAGTCCTTCAGCTCTTTGCCTATCTCTTATTTCTGTTCAGCTTTATGCTTTTTAACTGAAGACACACATTCTCTCAGATGGCAGGAAAAAATAGCAGCCAGCAGTACCAACTTAACATCTTCCAGGCTTGGCAACCCAAGAGTAAAGAGAGTTACTCTATTCCAACTTCCTTGTACTGTATTCAT